AATGATATTAGTCCATATTATTCACATTAAACTCAACACTTAAGCCAACTTTGAACCTTTTTGGAAGACTGTAGGAGGCCACAGATGGTGATATTTAGGGGAGGTGATGGCCTAGTGGTATTATCGCTAGACTATTAATCCAGAAACCCAGCAAATGTTCTGGGGACCTGGTTTCAAATCCTGCCATGGTAAATGGTAGAATTTGAATTTAATTAAAAAACCTGGAATTAAGAATCTACTGATGACCATGAAACCATTACTGATTGTTGGGAAAAATCTCATCTGGCTCATGACTCCAGACCAACCGTAATATGGTTAACTCTCAACTGCCCTCTGAAATGACCTAGCAAGCCATTCAGTTGTATCAATTGCCACAAAGTCTCAACAAAGAATTGAAACTGGATAGATCAGCTGACCTTGACCTAGGCACTGGAAAAGACAATGGCAGAAGCAGCCTTGTCAACTTTTCAAAGTCCTCCTAATGAGCATCTGGGGGCCAGCATCAAAATCGGGAGAGCTGTCTCATAGACGAGTCAAGCAACTGCCTGACATAAACATACTCTCAGAATCATACCTGACAGGAAATGTTCCAGACACCTCCATCACCCCATCCTGTCCCACCAGGAGGATAGACCGAACAGAGCTGGAGGCACAGTTAGAACAGATACAGTTAGAAAGGAGTTGCCCTGAAATTCTCAACATTGACTCTGGACTCCATGAAGTCTCAAGGTTTCAATTTAAACAGTGGCAAGGAAGCCTCCTCTTGGTTACCACATACCTCTGCTGCACATTCAGTGATCCTCCATGTTTAACAACACTTGGAGGAAGCACTAAAGATGGCAAGAGCAGAAAATGTACTCTGGATGGAGGATTTCAATATCCAGCCCCAAGAGTAGCTCAGCAACAGCACCACTGATTGAGCTGGTCGGGTCCTAAAGGATATAGCTAAACTGGGTCTGCAGAATGTGGTAAGGGAACCAACTAGAGGGAAAAACATGCTCGACCTCATCCTTACCAAACTGTCGACTGCAGATGCATCTGTCCTTGACTGGTATTCGTAAGAGTGACCACCGCACAGTCCTTGTAGAGATGAAGTCCCACCTTCACATTAAGTATACCCTCTATTGTGTTGTATACCCTATCACCATATTCAATGGGACAGATTTCAAACAGATCTAGCAAGTCAAGATTGGGATTCTATGAGGCACTGTGAGCTATCAACAGCAGCAGAATTGTACTTTGGCACATTCTATGACCTCATGGCCGGCAGGATCAACCTTGAATAGTGCAGGAGGGCGTGGCAGGAGCAGCCCCAGATATACCTAAAAATGAGGTGACAACCTGGTGAAACTACCAAACAGGACTACTTGAATGCCAAACAGCATTAGCAGCAATTAATAGGCAGAGCTAAGTGATTCCACAATTAACAGATCAGATCTAAGCTCTGCAGTACTGCCACATCCAGTTGTGAAGCATTCACAGTAATCTTCAGTTGGAAGGGCCAATTGGATGATCCATTGCAGTCTCCTCTGGTGGTCCTCAGCATCAGCGATGTCAGTCTTTAGCCAAGTCAGTTCACTCCATATGATATCAAGAAATGGTTGGAGGCACTGGATAGCACAAAGGCTATGAGTTCTGACAACATTCTGGCAATAATACTAAAGACTTGTGCACCAGAACTTGCCACACCCCTAGCCAAGCTCTTCCAGTACAGTTACAGCATTGACCAACAATGTGGAAAATTGTCCAGAATGGGCTGTAAACAAAAAGCATGACAAACCCAACCTGGCCAATTACTGCCCCATCAGTCTACTCACGATCATCAGTAAATGACGGAAGGTGTCATCAACAGTGCTATCAAGCAGCACCTGTTCAGTAATAACCTGCTCAACGACACTCAGCTTGGGTTCTACCAGGCTCATTCAGCTCATGACCTCATTACAACCTTGGTTAAAGTATGGACAAAAGAGTTGAATTCCAGAGACGAGGTGAGAGCAATAGCCCTTGACACCAAGGCCGCATTTGACCAAGTGTATCATCAAGGATCCACAGCAAAACTGGAATCAATGGGTACCATGGCAAACTCTTCACTGGCTGGAGTCATAACTGGCTGATAGGAACATGATTGTGGAGGTCAGTCATCACAGGCTGCAAAACATCTCTGCAGGCGTTCCTCAGGCAAGTGTCCTCGGCCCAACTATTACCAGCTGCTTCATCAATAATCTTTGCTCCATCATAAGTTCAGAAGTGGGAATGTGCAGTCAAAGGCAAACAACATTCAGCACTATTCGCGACTCTTCAGATATTGAAGTAGTCCATGTTTAAATGCAACAAGTTCTGGACAATATCCAGGCTTTGGCATATAACATTTGTGCTACACAAATGTCAGGCTATGACCATCACCAATAAGAGACAATCTAACCACCATCCCTTGATTTTCAATGGTGTTAACATCAGTGAATCCCTCACTATCAACATCCCGGGAGTTATCATTGATGAGAAACTCAACTGGGCTCACAACATACACACAGTGGTTGTAAGAGCAGGTCAGAAGCTGGGAATACTGCAGTCAGTAACTCACCTCCTGACTCCCCAGTCTACAAGGCACAAGTCAGGTGTGTAACGGAATACTTCCTATTTGCCTGGATGGGTGCAGCTCTAACAACACTCAAGAAGCTTGACACCATCGATGACAAAGCAATCTGCTTGATTGGCACTCCATCTACAAGCATCCACTCCCTCCACCACTGACACTCAGTAGCAGGAGTGTGTACTATCTACAAGATGCGCTGCAGAAATTCACCGAAGATCCTCAGAGAGCACCTTCCAAACCCACGACAACTTCCATCTAGAAGGACAAGGACAGCAGATATGTGGGAACCTTCAAGTTCCCTTCCAAGTTACTAACCATCCTGACTTGGAAATATATTGCCATTTATTCAGTGTCACCCCTGCCAAAATTTTGGAAATCCCTCCTTAATGGCATTGTGGGTCAACCTACAGCACATGGACTGCAGCAGTTCAAGAAGGCAGCTCACAGCCACCTTCTCAAGGGCAACTGGGGACAGGCAATAAATGCTGGCTCAACCAGCCATGCCCACATCCCATAAATGAATAAAAACAATCTCAGAGTAGGAGCATGCTGTTAAATTAAATTGACAGCTAACTGGACATTTAGGATCATTCTTGTGGACTGAATAGTGATGTATTGTAAAGCAGTCACTCAGTCTCATTTCATTTCCCCAGAGAAGAGGAGGCCACATCATGAGCACCTAGTGCAGTGGACTAAATTGAACAAATTGTGAGTAAATCATGGGGAGGCAACAGCCTCATGGTATTATCACTAGACCGCTTAATCCAGAGATCCAGCTAATGGTCAGGTGACAAGGGTTTGAATCCTGAAATGGCTAATGGTAGCATTTGAATTCAATACAAAAAAATCTGTAATTAAGAGTCCAATGATTACCGTGAATCCATTGTTGATTGTTGGAAAAACCCATCTGGTTCACTAATGCCCTTTAAGGAAGGAAACTGCCAACCTTACCATGTCTGACCTACATGTGACTCCAATCCACAGCACTATGGTTGAGTCTTAACTGTCCTCTGGGCAATTAGCGATGGGCAAAAAATGCCTGCCTAGCCAGCGATGCCTTCATCCTGTGAATGAGTACCCTGGCCCTGAACCCTCACTATACTACATTTAGTCAAATCTCACTTTCCAAAAGTAGATTTTACTGCCCCAAGTCTATGTTTGCCAGATTCTATCTAATTATATTAAAATTGGCCTTCCTCCAATTTAGACATTTAACATCTGCCCGGGGCTTTGGGCTGTGAGAAAAGAGGAGGCAGGAGGGCAATTATTGATCTCTTGTGCTGGTATAGAAAAGTTGCATGGGAATGGTATGGGTATTAGGGGTGACTGAGGATGGAGTCCAGTTATCGCCAAAGAAACGGTTCCTCTGGGATAATGAAAGGGGAGTGGAAGGTGTGTTGAGTATGGCTTCATGCTAGAGGTAAAGGAAATGGCAGAGGAAGATGCATAATATACAGAACAAAAACAAAGTTGCTGGAAAAGCTCAGCAGGTCTGGCAGCATCTGTGAAGGGAAAAAACAGAGGTTAACGTTTCGGGTCAGGTGACCCTTCCTCAGAACTTCCTCAGTTTTGAGGAAAGGTCACCGGACCCAAAACGCTAACTCTGTTTTTTCCTTCACAGATGCTGCCAGACCTGCTGAGCTTTTCCAGCAACTTTGCTTTTGTTCCTGAATTACAGCATCCACAGTTCTTTCAGTTTTTAATTAGCATAAAATACAGAGGTCAGCAGTGTGGAAGATGAGGAAAAGGGGATCCCTTTCAGGGCTCTGTGAGGGAGGGGAAGGGTGGAAGGCAGAAGTGTGGGAAATAGAACAAAGATTTCCATTTCTCTTCCTTTTAATTCACCTTCAAATACCTTCACAGATGATCGTTTCAATGATTCTTTCAGTCACATCTCTTTGCTCCTATATAAAAGCCCAATGTTTTGTTTTTGTTACTCTATGAAACATTTTCTAATGTCTTTCTTTGTGAAAAATGCAACGTGGATGTAATAGTCACATTTTTCTTATTGGTATTTGTCCCATATTCCCACACTTTTCTTAACTGCTGTGTGATATTAACGTCGTTGCTTTACTAACCTATATTATTAATTAATAACATTTTGGTCACCCTTTTTATTCTAGATGTGACCTTTAGAAGGTAGAAGTGACTGAAAGATGGAACCAACTAACATTCACTTGATCTGTTCAAAGTCTGCCCAATCCTCTTTCACATTTAAAGTGGATGGAAAAGGCCTCATTATCAGCATGTTCAAATACTATGAAAGTTGTAGAGCTAATTGTGATACTGCTGATTTTTGTCAAGTTCTTGCTTGATAGACCCTCCACTGTTAAGAAAACCCGATAATGCTGTGTCTTATTTTATAAGTTAGTTTAAATGCCAATTCAACATTCTCTTTCATTCCTAGACTGATTAGCAATGATCTCAACTTTCATTGTTGTGAGGAACTGGCATCTGGGTTGTCAAAAAATCAGAGCCTGGTGGAATTGAATTTGAGTCACAACCAACTGAAAGACTTGGAGGTGACAGTACTGTGCAATGTTTTGAAGGAGCCGGAATGCAAACTCCAAATACTGCAGTGAGTGACCAAATGTCTTCATTATAACATGTCACAGCATCTTTGCAACACAGAACACAATTGTTCCAACCGTTGGAATTCATTCTGAGGGGTATCATTTTACAGCAAATGAGTAATATTAAACTTGTACAGAACCATGATTAGACCATACTTGGAACATAGGTCAGGGTTAAATGTTATATGAAAGGGTTGGAGAAAGTGCAAAAGACATTTTACAATGTTGATACTAGAAGTGAGAGGCTATAGCTATCAGGGAAGATTGAACATGCTGTGTTTCCTTACTCAAGAAAATAGTTTCTAATGGAAATTCAGCTACAGGAAAAAGATTTAAGGTAACTGGCAAACAAGTGGAGAAGATGATGTATAATGTATCTGAATAATATATACAAAGGGCTAAGTGCAGATCTGATAAAGGTTTTTTGAGGGCAAGAGATGATTTGATAGCATAAACATGGAAACCATTTCCTGTCATAGAGAGACCAGAGATTTAGGGCTGCCACTGTAAGATAATAACTAATAAATCCAATTAGGCTTTTAGCAGAAACCTTGCTATCCAGAAAAGTAGCTCAGAATGTGGAAATTGACATAACAAGAAATATTTGAAGCTAACAGCAACTTATATTTATATAGCACCATTAGGTCTATACAGGGTTTTCCACAGGAGTAATATAAAGTGAAACTATATCCTAGGACTGAATCTTATTAGATTTTAGCCAAAAGCATCAGTTTTGTTGTGCTTCAGGATGGTTTCTGTTGGCGAGGCCTAGTGTGATTGTCCCAAGCTCACCTAATTATATATCTACCATACCGCAATGGCATCACTCTCTCCCAATGCTAGCCCAATTCTACCACTCACTGTACCCAGAAGAGCATGCCAAAGCTGGGATATTCCAGAATAGCCAGTAAACCTGATGCCTCCCAATCTTTAAAAGGTCATTGTGCAATTGGACAAGCACTGTTAGTCCACTGTTATCCTGCATGGTTCCTGACATTTGTCCCAGATATGGCGGATAAGCGAAGATTGGCACCCATCTTTACGGGCAGGAACCTGGAAGTTCTGGTGGGCGTGATGGTGCACAGCGGTGATGTTCTCTTCCACAAGGCCCGGCAGAGGCTACAATGCCATCAGACCTTGCCAGCCTGATCCAAGTTGTAAGCCAGGTCATTGCTTCCTTATCCATGTGGAGGAATGCCCAACAGTGAAAGAAGGTCAATGACTTTCTCTGCTTTGCCATGGTAAGTGCCACCATCTGTTGTCTGCTACCTCACATTCTGCCTCTGCTACTGTGCTCATCTTCCACGAATGTTTATGCTCTACCCTTCTCACGATTGCACGCAGAATCTTCCCTCACTTGTTCTCACTGATGCCCACATGATGAACCCTGAATGGCCTCTGTGCTGACTATTCACACTTGTAGGGCATCTAACCACTTTTCCTTCACCTACACCAGCATGAACAACTGTGCCAGCTACTTTCTTCTCCCTTAATTCCTCCTTTTCACTCCAGTAACATGTCACAGTAGGGCAGAAAAAGGCAAGACAGGTGGTGGGCTGCCCATCACTGAGCTCCTCACTCCCTACAAAGGGAGGATCCTGACTACCCTGAGTGGTTGACTGAGCATGTCCAAGCCCCTGGAGACCCTGGAGCCCCTTGGCTTACTCTGCCAGGGCACACTGACTGAAGGTCTCTCCCTGTATTTGAATTAGGATGTCTGACAACCATAACAAACTTCCTGACTTTGTGTCTGTGTCAAATGACAAGGCAAAGCAGAAATATTGTGAGCCTTGTAACTCTGGCTTAGAGGCAAAGCATTAAAAGACAAGGCACGACAGGGATGCTGTGAGCGGGTAGACTCAAAGTGAGTAAGTGCTATGAGAGCAAATGAGCAGCTTTGATATGCAGTCTGATCCAATGGATGAAGTGGGTGTAAGGTGTCCTTGCAGTATCATTGCAACAATGGTTGTTGGTGTTCCCTGAGGTCGGTGTTAAAGTGCAGAAATGCACTGTAAGTTGATCGGGTCCTTTTTAGAGTGGCAGGCAGTGGCGAGTGGGGTACCGCAGGGTTCAGTGCTGGTACTGCAGGGTTCAGTGCTGGGACCCCAGTTGTTCACAATATATATAGATTTGGACAAAGGAATTGAATGCAATATCTCCAAACTTGCAGATGACACACTGCCATCCAGCTTAGTATGTTGAGAGGAGGATGCTAAGAGGCTGCAGGGTGACTTGGACAGACTGGCTGAATGGGCAAATACTTGGCAAATGCAATATAATGCGAATAAATATGAGATTATCCACTTTGGTGGCAAAAACAGGAAGGCAGATTATTGTCTGAATAGTGGCAGTTTGGGAAAAGGTGAGGTGCAACATGACCTGGGTATCATGATGGAACTGAAGTTGCTGAAGATTGGAATGCAGGTGCAACAGGCAGTGAGGAATGCTTTAGGCCTACTCTCCTTCATAGTGAGAGGATTTGAGTATTGGAGCAAGGATGTCTTGCTGCAGTTATACAGGGCCTTGGTGAGGCACACCTTGAGTACTGTGTGCAGTTTTGGTCTTCTAATTTGAGGACTGACATATAAAGAAAGACTGTATTGACAAGGGCTTGTCCTCAATGGAATTTAGAAGAATGCTGGGGGAACCTCATAGAAACATAGAATTCTAATGGGACTGAACAGCCTAGATGTGGGAAGAATGTTTCTGATGTTGGGGGAAGTCCAGAACTAGGGGTCACAGTCTAAGAACAAGGGGTAAGCCATTCAGGACTGAGATGAGGAAGAATTTCTTCACTCAGAGTTGTGCACCTGTGGAATTGTCTACCACAGAAAACTGTTGGGCCAGTTCATTAGATATATTCAAGAGGGAGCTGGATGTGGCCCTTGTGGCTCAAGGGATCAAGGGGTATGGAGAGAAAGTGGGAGTGGGATACTGAAATTGCATGATCATATTAAATAGTGGTGCAGGCTCGAAGGGCCAAATGGCCTACCTCTGCACCTATTTTCTATGTTTCTATGTGCCCCAATGATGTAAGGAGGCTGGTGTATGTTGGTTGCTTGTGTCCATGGGGACTGGGCAATCTTGTGGATGTAGTCACATCCACATCCTGTGGCAGATTCACAGTTCCCTGAAAGTGGCAACAGAAGTGGACAAGGTGGTCAAGAAGACTTATGGCCTGATTGTCTTCATCAGTCAGGGCTTAGAGTATAAAAATTGGCTAGTCATGTTGTAGCTGTGTGGAACTTTAGTTAGGTCACATTTGGAATATCTTATATAGTTCTGGGTGCCACTCTTCCAGAAGGATGTGGAGGCTCTGGAGAAAGTACAGGAACAGTTTACTAGGATATTGCCTGGCTTGGAGGATATTAGCTATGAGGAGAGATTGGACAAACTTGAACTATTTTCACTTGAACGTCCAAGGCTGAGGGATGACCTGACAGAAGTTTCTAAAATTATGAGAGGAATGGATAGTCAAAGTCTTTTTTCCCAGGGTAGAAGTGTTAATTACGAGGGGACGAAGGTTTAAGGTAAAAAGGGCAAAGTTTAAAAGAGATACGAGAGGCAAGTTTTTTTACAGAGAGGGTAGTAGATGCCTGGAATGCGCTGCCAAAGGAGGTAGTAGAAGCAGATACAACAGCAACATTTAAGAGGCATCTTGGCAGATACGTGAATAGGCAGGGAATAGAGGGATATGGGCCGCATAGATGCAAAAGGTTTTTAGTTTAGAAAGGCATCATGTGTCAGTGCTAACTTGGAGGGCCAAAGGGCTTGTTCATGCCCTGACTGATGAAGGCAATCATGCCATATGTGTTCTTGACTACCTTGCCCTCTCGTACAGTTCTTTGCTGTTTAGATAGTAGAATAGGAAGCTCCATATTAATGACTTGAGATTTGCAGTTAATGAACTTGTTAAGAATTAATAATCTCTGTTAACAGTCATCTCACCACTTCCGACTGAGAATCTCATTTTGACTTTCGGAACTCTGTATGATAATGCAATGAATTGGGGCAGCATGGTGGCTCAGTGGTTAGCACTACTGCCTCACAGCATCAGGGACCCGGGTTCGATTCAGGCCTTGGGTGACTGTTTGCACCTTTTCCAAGTGTCTGTGTGTTTTTTTTCTGGGTCCTCCAGTTTCCTCCCACAATCCAAAAATGTGCAGGTTAGATGGGTTAGCCACAGGAAATGTAGAGTTAAAGGGATAGGAAAAGGGGGAGTGCGGATCTGGGTGAGATGTTCTTTGGAGGGTTGGTGTGGACTCAATGAACCAAATAGCCTGCTTCCATACTGCAGGGATTCTATGTTCCTAATGTTAGAAAATGCCTTGCCCATGTTCTCACATAATTCGCCCCGATTGCTTACCATTGCCCACGTTGTTTGTGGCCTTATGTGGCTCGGGGCTGAATTTAATAAGGCAATAACAGGCTAGATGGCTTAAAGTTTGAAAATTGGGTCAAAAGGAGTACCTTAGAGCAACAAATAAAAGTCAAGAATTGGAAGCATTCAGATTGGGAATTACATTGTTTAGGGTCCAGGCAAAGATGGGGTGATGAAACAGGGGATGTTCAACAAACCAGAATTAGAGAGCAGAAGTTGTTGTGCTGGAGGAGATGACAGAGATAGGTGAGGACTTGGAGGGATTTTAAAAACAGCAAAGGAATTTTAAAATGAAGATTTAGCTTGAAGTGAAGCCGATGGTAGCCAGTGAGCACAGCGGTGAAAGTTAAAAAGGGACAAAGTGCGAGTTAACATAGGGGAAACAGAGTTTTTAATGACCTCAAGTTACACATGTTAGAATATGGGAGATCATTGGAATACTCAGCCTAGAGGTATCAAAATTAGAATTAGAATTAGTTTTTATTGTCACATACACTTGAGTGCAGTGAAAAGTTTGTAGTGTTGCCTCTTGGCGTCATCTTAGGTGCAGTGTGCCTAAGTACAGGGTACTTAAGTATGTGTTACAGACTTGAGAGAATCATAAATAAAAATTCAGCATAAAAATAAAGGATAAAGAAGCTACCTTTTAAAAAGTACTCGCACTGTAGTCTTCCAGCCGGAGCTTCTCTGCTCCGCCCGTTCTTTCCTCTCTGTTCCTCAAAATCTCAACTTTTACTTACTTGAGGCGAATGGTAGAGATTGAAGGAGGCCAGGACATCCAGGTGTGTCCTGGAGGCGAGGCCCAGGCCAGGTCAGTGTAGGAGGTAGCGAGTCCAGGCGAATACTGGAAGCCAGGCCCAGGCCAGGCCGGCACGGAGGCAGCAAGTCCAGGCGAGTTCCGGAGGCAAATCCCAAACCAGGCTGGTGTGGGAGGTGGTCAGCCCAGGCAAGACCTGGAGGCAAGTCCCAGGCCAGCCCTGCACAGGAGCAGCATGTCCAGGCGAGTCCTGGAGACGAGTGGAGGCCAGCGCTAATGCAGCGGCAAGTCCCTTGGGGACTGCAAGTGAGGCATCCAGGATTGATGCCCAGCATCTCCTATAAACTTGGCTCGTTTCAATAATAGATGAAATAGGGGGATGTTGGGTAGTGGAAATTGGAAATAGGTGGCATTATCAATGATCAACATGATCAGCAGCTTATCTTGGGGTCAAGGGTCATATAACCATTTCCGCAAATGTGAGAGCTAGAGGGAAGTTGCAAATGAGAAGAGGGATGGACTGGTTCAGTTTTGAATAGTGGCCTGGGAGAGGATGGAACCTCTTGAGGCTCCATAATGGCTTTTATCTATTTAAAATTTTGTTCGAGTGAATCTTTGCTCATCTAGGTCTGAAGGTCCAAGATATATTCTGATAATTTAGTGACCGCAAAGACATGAGCTTAGAGACTGGATCAGTACGTGGGACAATGATGTTGTGGCCATTACAGAGACATAGTTGAGAGAGGGACAGGACTGGCTACTCAATGTTCCATGGTTTTGTCATTTTAGATGAGATAGAGAGGAAGGTAAAAGAGGTGGAAGAGTTGCGTTACTAATCAGGGAGAATGTTACATCTGCACTCAGAGGGCATGCTGGAGGGCTCATCCACTGAAGCAATATGGGTACAGCTCAAAAATAAGATGGGGTCAATCGTTGTGATAAGTTAATACTATAGGCCACCCAAAAGCCACTGAGTCATTGAGGAACAAATATATCAGCAGATTAAGGAAAGGTGACTTTAACTTCCTCAATATTGACTGGGACTCCCTTAGAGCTTAGACGGGGTGGAATTTGTTAAGTGCATCCAAGAGGGTCTCTTAAAACAGTACGTGGATAGTCCAACTGGAGGAGGGGCCATACTGGACCTTGTATTGGCTAATGAGCCTGGCCAGGTGACTGGTCTTTAAGTGTGGGAGAGCATTTTGAAATAGTGATCACACCTCCTTAAGTTTTAAGATGACCATGAACATGGATAAGGCAGGAGCTTGCGGGAAGGTACTAAATTGAGGGTAGGCAAATTACATCAGTGAGGTTGTATGCTCGCCGAGCTGGTGGGTTTGGATGCAAATGTTTTGTCACCCTGCTGGGTCAAATCGTCAGCGCGCCTCCGATGAAACGTTCGTGTTCTGTCCTGTTTGTTATTTATATTCCTCAGTTTGTTGGGTGTTTTGTACCACTTCTGGTTCTGTTTCTCTTCTGTTTGTACACAGGGTCTAATTCAATGTGTTTGTTGGTGGAGTTCGCTTTAGAATACCAAGCCTCCAGGAATTCCCTGGTGTGCCTTTGTTTAGTTTGTGTGATTATGGATGTGTTGTCCCTGTTGAATTTGTGTCCCTCCTTGTCCGTGTGTAGTGAGATAAGTGAGAATTGGTCATGACTCTTGGTGACTAGTGGTGTTCATGTATCCATATTGTCAGTTTTCTTCCAGTTTGGCCTATATAGTGTTTATCACAATCCTTGCATGGTATTTTGTGTATTGCATTGATTTTACTGGTTTTGGGTGTGGGATCCTTTACGTTTGTCAGTAGCTGTCGTAAGGTGGTTGTTGATTTATGGGCTACCCTGGTACCTAGGGGTCTGAGTAGTCTTGTGGTCATCTCTGAAATGTCCTTGATGTGCAGTAGGGTGATTAGTGAATCTGGTCCTGTTGTGTCTTCCTGTTGTGGTCTGTCTTGGAGGTAATGGCGGATTGTGCTTTTCAGGTATCCATTCCCTTTGAAGACTCTGTATAGGTGCTCCTGCTCTGCTTCACGTAGTTCTGGGTTGATGCAATGCATTGTGGCTTGTTTAAGTAGTGTCCTAATGCAGGTCCATTTGTGGGCATTGGGGTGATTGCTAGTGTAACTGAGTATCTGGTCCATATGTGTGGTCTTTCTATTTAAGCTAGTCTGGAGTTCCCCATTGTTTTTGCATTCTACCATTATGTCCAGGAAAGGTAGTTGGTTGTTGTTCTCCTTTTGTTAATTTTATCCCGGTGAGGATGTTGTTTACATGTCAGTGGGTTTCTTCTAGTTTTGTGCTTTTGATAATCAGAGGACGAGATGATGATATCCTTGATGTAACAGCACTATTTACATCCATAACCATCAACTGTAGCCATAGAGACAATTGCCACACTACTGGACGAATCAAATAGGCAGGCATCCCAGGAGACCAAACGAAGAAGAAATAGAAATGGAACTCAATGAAACAAGTCATAGTGCATGGATGTTGAAGTAGTGATGTGTGATCAACTGTACTGCTGGCTGAAGACAGGACAAGCAGAGCACTGAACTTTGTCACAGTTATAAAAAATGTGATTTATGACTGAGAACTTTTTCAGTGTTTGATAAGGGCAGAAGTTACTTTAAAGGGATTTAAGCATGGGGTCTAGTAAAGATAGACTCAGAGTTGGGAAATGACATGTTCAAGGACTTTGGAGAGGAAAGAGAAGTTGGAAAGGGCACAAAAGCTTGCAAATTAAGTGGGGATAAATGTTGGCTTTTTGAGGACAAGGGCAAAGGTCAAGGAGGTTTTAAAGGAGAGGAAAACACCTGAAAGGAAACAACTGTTAACATAGAAGAGAGGAGATTTGGCCAGGTGGGCTCGTGGACGTGGTGGTAGGGGCAACTGATCTGATGGTCTTAGTTACAAAGAAATCCATGAACTCCTTGGATTTCTTGTAATAAGATCAACATATTAATGTTAAAGTATGTCAAGACATGAGAGAAAGAAATAACAGGAATTCTGATGAGTTTTCGCAAACTATACAGGGAAGAATCTCGTATAAACCAGCATGGATTCATCTAGGACAAATAATCTGTAAATCTCATATGATTCTGTATAAAGTAGATATTTTAGGAATTGAAATCATAATTATCTCACTGTAAATGACATGAAAATATCTGCCTTCCGCTCCAGCCTTCATCATAACCAGATCAGCAGCAACTGTTGCCAAGCATTGGGTTCTGTTCTCACCCAAAACCAAGCATTGACTCAACTGAACCTGACCCACAATAAGCTCGGCAATGCTGGAGTTAAAATTCTGTGCAGTGCATTGAAGAACAAAGTCTGCAAACTGCAAAAATTGAGGTGAGTTGATTGCTGTTTGGATGATGTGAAAGACAGATTGAACTAATATTCCTTTAAGCGTCTCTCTGAATTACTGAACGGCGCAGTCCTTTTAAAATGAACTCAAAAATAAAATACTCAAGACATGGAAATCTGAAATAAAACAGTAAGTACTGTAGATACTGAGCAGGTCTGGCAGCATCTGTGGCTGGAGAAACAGAGCCCGATTTGACTTTTACAGAACTTGTTAAACATCGTTAGGTTGTTGCATTCTAGTAAGACCTAGTGGGAGTGTGGATCTAATCCAGGATCATAATTGGAAAGACATAATTAATTAATGGGAACATGGAAAACTTGTTTCTGTTTCCCAATGTCATCAGAGAGGTTCTTGGTGTCAGGGGATGGGAATAAAAAGTCTTGATCCAGGGATGAATTCTCTCTCTTGAAATTCTGCAAATCGGTCTGGAAAGACAAAAGAAACTAGAATTCCCTAAGGGTTAATATTGGGATCCTGCCTTTCCTGAGATATACATGATCTCAATCTTGGTGTGCAGGGGACAATTTCAAAGTTTGCAGATGACACAAACTTAGAAGAATAGTAAAACTCTATAGAACTTCCAAAAGATTTTGGCAAGTTTGTGCAATAAATGTGGATAAATGAACTCCAATGTGGAGAAATGTGAGGTGTTACGCTTTAGTACAAAGACTATGAGAAACAGTTTAAGATAAAGGGTAATTTCCAAAGAGTGTGCAGGAGCAGAGAAGCAGGGGTGTATATATGCATAAGGCATTGAAGATTGCAGAACAGTTAAAGTTGTGAATAAAGCATATAATATTGTTGGCTTCATCATTAAAGAACAGAGCACAAGAGCAGAGAGTTTATGTTGAACTTGTATAAGACACCAGTTAGACCTTAGTTTGAGTATTGTGTACAATTCTAGGCTCCACACTTTGAGATGAATGTGAATATGTTGGAGAGAGTGCAGAGGAGACTTACAAGAATGGTTCCATGGATAAGAAATTTCAATTGTGAGGAAAGATTGGAGAAATTGGCACTGTTTCCATTGGAGAGGGGAAAGCTGAGGGGAGATCTGATCGAAGTTTTCAAAATCACGCGGGGCCTGGATAGAGTGGATAAGGAGAAACTGTCCCACTTGTAAAAAGATGAAATGCCAGAGGGTACAGTTTTAAAGTGATTTGCAGAAGAAGCAAATGTGAGGCGAACAGTTTTTTTTTCACACAGTGAGTAATCCGGGTTTGGAATGCAATGCCTACAAGTGTAATAGAGGCAGAAATAAAATCAATGGGAGTATCTGTGGAGAGAGAGGTACAGAATTAACATTTTGAGTCTGCTATTTTGAGTCCTCAGAACTGAAAAATCGTGTTTTTTACGATGTTGACAAAGCAGGAGGATGTGCAAATGAAACAGTTTATAAGGGTACCCAAAGCAAGACACATAAGAACATAAGAACATAAGAACTAGGAGCAGGAGTAGGCCATCTGGCCCCTCGAGCCTGCCCCGCCATTTAATAAGATCATGGCTGAGCTTTTTGAGACTCAGCTCCACTTACCCGTTCACTCACCATAACCCTTAATTCCCTTACTGTTCAAAAATTTATCTAGCCTTGTCTTAAAAACATTCAGCGAGGTAGCTTCAACCGCTTCACTGGACAGAGAATTCCAACCCATTGGGTGAAGAAGTTCCGCCTGACCTCAGTCCTACATCTGCTTCCCTTTATTTTGAGGCGATGCCCTCTAGTCCTAGTTTCGCCTGCTAGCGGAAACAACCTCCCTGCCTCCACCTTATCTATTCCCTTCATAATCTTATATGTTTCTATAAGATCTCCCCTCATTGTTCTGAATTCCAATGAGTATAATCCCAGTCTACTCAGTCTCTCCCCATAATCCAACCCTCTCAACTCTGGAATCAACCAAGTGAATCTCTTCTGCACCCCCTCCAATGCTAGTATATCTCTTCTCAAGTAAGGAGACCAAAACTGCACACAGTACTCCAGGTGTGGCCTCACCAGGACTCTGTACAGCTGCAGCATAGCCTCCCTGTTTTTAAACTCCATCCCTCTAGCAATGGCAGACAAAATTCCATTTGCCTTTTTAATTACCTGCTGCACCTGCAATCCTACTTTTAGCGATTCATGCACAAGGACACCCAAGTATCTCTGCACAGCAGCGTGTTGCAATTTTTTACCATTTAAAACATAGTCCATTTTGCTGTTATTCCTACCAAAATGGATGACCTCACACTTATCAACATCGTACTCCATCTGTCAGACCTTTGCCCACTCACTATCTATATCCCTCTGCAGACTTTCAGTGTCTTCTGCACACTTTGCTCTATCACTCACCTTAGTGTCATCTGCAAATATTGACATACCACACTTAGTCCCCAACTTAACTCTGCCTTTTTCTCCACAGATGCTGCCAGATCTGCTGAATTTCTCTAGCACTTTTTGTTTTTATTTCAGATTTCCAGCATCCACGGTATGTTGTATTTATTTGTAATGGAGGCAGTTGTAATGAATTTGGCGCATGTTTGAGGAGATTATGGTGTGGCGGTATTAGCACTCAACAAGTAATCCAAAGCTCCAAGATGCAGATAATGGAATTTGAATTCAATAAAAATTTTCAATTAAAAATCCAATGATGAACAAAAGCTGGTGTGATTGTCAGGGTAAAAAAGAATCTGGGAAGGAAACTTCCAGTGTTACTTGATCTGGCCAATATGTGATTCTGCACCACAGCAATATGGTTGATTTAACTATCTTCTGGGCAATTAGAAATGGGCAATTAATGTCAGTCTATCCCATGAATGCATTTTAAAAATGGTGCTGGCACAGTGGTTTTCCATCTGAGTCCTCAATATTGATTCCAGACCCATGCAGTTTCACGATGTTGGGTCAGACATGTACCCCCCACCACCACACCCCCACCCCCCAGCCCCCCAGCCCCCCAACCCCCACCACCACCACCGTGTGACAGCCCTTAAGATCAAGACTGTATTTCACCAAATGAGCATCAAGGAACTTTGGCAAAACTGTGATAAGTGGGAATCAAGGGAAAAACTCTCCACTGGTTGAAGTCATACCTGGCACAAAAGAAGATGGTCGTGGTGTTGAAGGTCAATCATCTCAGCTCCAGGACATCTAGGCCTGACCATCTTCAACTGCTTCATCAAAGAACTTCCCTCCATCATCAGGCCTGAAGTTGGGATGTTTGTCAATGATTGCACTATGTTTAGCACCATTTGTGTCTCCTCAGATACTGAATTAGTCCATGTCCATATGCAACAAGACCTGGACAATATCCAGGCTGACAAGTGACAATTAATAGTCAAATCACACAAATGCTAGGCTTTGACCTCTTTTCATAAAGAATCTAACAAACATCCCCTGACATTCAATGGCATTACCATCACTGACACTGAATCCCCCACTGGCAATATCATGGGGAACACCACCAACTACAGAGATAACAAGGTGTAGAGCTGGATGAACACAGCAGGCCAAGCAGCATCAGAGGAGCAGGAAAGCTGACGTTTCGGGTCTGGACTCTTCTTCAGAAAAACCACCAACTACATGTTCCTCTCCAAGCCACTCACCATTCTGACTTGGAAATACATCATCATTCTTTCAATGTTGCTGGATCAAAATCATGGATCTCACTCCCAGATAGCATTGCGGGTCTATCCTGTATGTACATGCACGTCACCACCTTCTCCAGATTAACAAGCGATGAGCAATAACTGCTTGCCCAACCATTATTAGATGTTGAGCTGGATGAACACAGCAGGCCAAGCAGCATCATAGG